GAGCATTTAAAACAAAAAGGATACCGAAATCAGAAATCCCAAAGCAAACAACCTGTCAAACTAAATCTTGGACCGGGAGTCCTTAACCAGGAATCCGATGTAAGGAATCTGTCATAACGGGTCGTCGAGGTACCCTTCATGAGGAATTTTAATTTCGGAAGTACTATTCAGGAGTATTTACCAAGGAGTCCTCACTAAGGACTGTGTACAATGGTAACCTACCAAAGGAATCCTTTTTATCAGGAATCCTTCATAAGGCGTCCTTAATATGGAATCCCGAAGAAGGAATCTGACTTTAGGACCCACAATCTGGATTTTCTAGTCGAGAACCCATCACACGGAATCCTGAATAAGGAATATTGATTAAGGGACCTTCCATACGGAATATGTACTTGGTAATCTGTATGTGTGGATTTTGAGCAAGGGGCCCTTAATAACGAATCTGAGTTGCGAAATCCTTAACCCCGAACTGTTAAGATTGACTCCTTCAGAAGGTATCAGAACTAGGGAGTCTTGGATACGGACTCTTTAAGAAGGAATCTGTTATACCGAATTATCAACATGGAATACTTCGTAAGGGTCTTGATGAAGGCATCCTTAACCAGACCTTCTTAACAAGGAATCTGTTGTCCGGAATCCTTCGTGCGGAATTGGTTTAAAGAGGCATCTGATTTAAGGGGCCCAGAAGAAGTATTCCCTCATACAGAATATTTTTGTTATTGATTCAGGAGTCCTTAACAAAGGACCTCTTTGTAAGAGTAGGACATCTTGGCGATGTAGGAAATCTGGGAATAGGGAGTCGCACAGAAATCCTTAAGCGGAGGTTGGGGGGTGAGATCGAAGTGGAACGGAGAGCCCCCCCCACGGAAAATCGGTTTCGGCTTCGTGTTTGTGCGTGCCGTGCGCGCGGGCGAGGCGAAGCTGCGTGGGCGGGCGAGAGGGCGAGAGGAATGTCTCCTGTGGCTGAGGCGCGGCCGGACGAAATGATTCCCCTCCCGGCAAACGGGGCCGCGCGGTGTCCCGCTGGTGTCCCGGTAAGTCTCTTGTTGCTGAGGCGCGGCCGGACCAAATGTTTCCCGACCGGCAAATGGGGCCGCGCGGTGTCCCGCCGGTGTCCCGCTGGTGTCCCGGTGTCTCGCTGTTTCGAAAACGATCGTGAGACCGATAGTGATATCGATTGTGAGATCGATTGTAAAATCGATAGTTAGATCGATAGTGAGATCGATCGAGTGAGGTCGATGGTAAGATCGATTGTGGGATCGATAGTGAGAGCGATAGTGGGATTTATGGTGAGATCGATTGAGTAAGATCGATCTTGAGATCGATCGAGTGAGATCGATAGTGATATCGATGGAGTGATATCGATAGTGAGATCGATCAGTAGATCGATGGAGTGGTATCGATAGTGAGATCGATAGCGGGATCGAAAACAATATCTATAATGAGAGCGACGGTGAAGTCGATCAAGTGAGACCGATCGTGATATCGATCGAGCGAGATCGATAGTAAGGTCGATCGTGAGATCGATCGTGGGATCGATCGTGATACCGATATTGGCATGCACATCGAAATGCAGATCGACATGCAGATCGAAAAGCAAATCGACATGCACATGATAAGCAAATGCAAATGCAACTCTTCAGGCACATCGGCATCCTGTGCTGTATGCTGTGCCAAGAGCGAGCGGCAACGCAACAATCTCTGAATCCCAAGGCTCCCAGCACGAACGTTGGCGCAACAGGCTCTTAAGAGTCGCTCCAAGAAGCCCCCGGGAGGCCCCAAGAGGCCCCCAAGAAGCCCCAAAAGGCTCCCAAGAGGCCCCCAACCCCCAAGAGGCCCCCAAGAACTTCCCAAGGGGTCCACAAGACGAGCCCACACGGCCCCCCAAGCCCTTGCAAAACGAACGAAATAATTTATTAGTTCATTGGTTCCCGGGGGGGGGAAATGGTACCAAGGCGCCCAAGAGCGAAGGGTAACGTAAACAATTCGACACCAAGGCTCCCAAGAGCGAGCCCGAAACGCAACCATCTCTGAACACCGGGGCACCCATATCGAGTGTGATCGATAGTGAGAGCGATAGTGAGATCGATCGAGCGAGATCGATAGTGTGATCGATTGTGAAATCGATTGAGTTAAATCGATTGTGAAATCGATAGTGGGGTCCGTTGTGAGATCGATGGAGTGAGGCGTTGAGTCCTCCCCCCCTCAACTCTCTGACCATTCAGGGATCTCGGTTCAAGGCTTCTGTTGCACTCGGCACGCGAAGGGGCCGCGAGCGGCAACGCAACAAATCTCCACAGGCATTTTCAGAACAACAATCACCTCTGTTGCCCATTGCTGGCCCCCTCCCCCCCCTAATCTCCTTGTCACCCGCAGGGTGGTCGTATAGGTATGGAATATAAACTAAGGAGCTCTTGACTTCTGAACATGTATTTGGACACCCTTACGAACTAATATGTATTGATGGGGCCCTTACTAAGGAGTCTTTACTAATTCATCC